CAGAGCCCGATGCGGGGCTCGAACTCACAGACCGTGAGATCATGACCTGAGCCGAAGTCGGACGCTCAACCGACTGAGCCACCCAGGCACCCCAAACATTAAAACAATTTTTTTTTTTAAAAAATCTACAGCAGCTGTATACCTACTGTTGAATGAATGCCTCTTTAACAGTAATCAACCCATTATCCCATCATTCAAAAAATTTCAAGACCCCCATGACATAAGACATTATGCTAAGTACAATTAATTTACATATTTCTGGAAAGCTATCAGTTCTACCTATAAAGAGCTTTGCAATTTAATTTGTGACGTATCAAATGATGACTCATTGTTGCAGTTTCTTTTTAGAGCCTTTCTGTTTGTATCCCATAACTCAGGTGAGTTTCATGGTATTATGTTACACAGCAGGTCAGTGCTCGTTTTTTACATTATCATACAAAGGCTCTATGTTGTTGTAAAAAGGATTGTATAAAGGTATTCAGGAGCTATGACAGAAGAGATGGCAGAATCAATACATTACGATTAAAGCAAGTATGCTCTAATCAGTTTTATGTAAAATTTTAGATTCATAAAGAACATTTATTAGATGAAAACTTCTTAACAAGTGGGGAGAAACAGGCACGTTTTGGAGCTGATTTTAAATACAGATGATCAATTTCCTTTTGTGAGAAGAAATCATTTACGATTTTTCCTTCACATATACAGTTGTGTATAGCCTCATTCAGTCTCAAAAAAAAAAAAAAAAAAAAAAAAAAAAGACCAAGAGCACGGATCTCCATAAACAACACAGGTGTAAACAAACATCTTCTATAATTACTAGTCAGATTTCAGTTCTTTCTTTGCACTGACAAAAGCATGCTATGCCATGGATGTGATCTCTAAAATCAGAATGCTCTGAAACACCCACCCGACTCCACCATAATCTATTTGATCCAGGCTGCTCTGAGACGGGGAATGTGAATACATGTGAATACGGTGCTTGCTGAATACACTCTGAGTATTGCATCTTTGTGAAAAGTGTGCAGGAACTCTTGTGGATCAATTACCAGATTTTTAAAATCTCAACATAATCGTGCACTTTCATCACTTCTCTTGGGGGCTGCTTCAGCTCCTCCTCTATTGGCATCGCCTTATCAGTAATGGAACGTAGGAAACTTCTCAAGGACAACAGTGGTAGACGAGGGCCCACAAAAACGGCATGCATGATGCGACCAGGCAGGGGATTCGCAAGGAGGTCTTTGGTTTGCAGAAAGTTTAATTTTAATAGGTCTAAGAAACTAGGAAAGCCCTCCATCCTTGCTCTGCTATATACTGTTTGTATTGCAAATGATTCTTGAGATTGCAGGTGTCTGCCTGAAGGCAGGTCACGGAAAGTCAGTGAAAACCAGGGCAACCCCAGCAACAGAAATTAACCTGCAGATCAGACAGGCAAATATGTATTTTAGAGAGCATTAATCCCACTGCAGCAATCAAACTGGACTTCACAAAATGAACAGAGACTCCGAACAACAAAAGCAACCAACAGCATCTATTCCAACATTGCAAATTTCTTAGATATTACAGATGTCACCCAACAGTGAGTGCATTTGCTTCCCATATGTGAACAAAACTAAGGCATCACAAGATCCATCTGAATGGAATGTTAACCTTCACTTTAAATTTTTTTTTTTTTCTTTTCCTAGCTGACGACACAATTTTGGTATTATCACAACGGAGCTTCTGGCTGGAAAAAATTAAATTAATGGATGGATTAAAAAAAGCTTAGAAACTTAAAAAAAAAATAAACAACTCTCAAATATCTATACTTGATGGTGTCAAGAGCCAAGATGAATGTGTTTCAATTGCAACTTCCAAACTAAACTCACAAATTACTACCATTATGCTAAGTGTTAGCTACCCCACTGTGCAGTTTTGCTTTGTGAATTTTTACCTTCCTCTATGAACACTTTTAGCCACTGATCGCACAGCCTTTCAATGTTTTCTGCCTTTTCCTTTAAATAAACTGGCTGTGGCTCCCTCCATCTGGTTCCCCTTCCGTCAGCAACCCTGCACCTGTTCACACCTCCTCTCCTGTTGGATTCCACTGAACATTTCCTCCTCTGCCAGGGCTATTCTGGCACTCGCAACCTTTCTGTCATTCAATCCATCTGTCAGAAGTGAACTTTGTTTACCGCAAGCTTCTGCTTTCTTCTTCAAGAAGCAAAGCCCCTCAAGGTCATTGTCAAATGAACTGTCGGCACGGATTTAAATCCTCTCCTGCTAACCAGCAGAAGATGAAGTTCTGTTGTGTAACGCACTTGTGAAAATTACTTTTGGGTTCGGGAAGACAATAATTTGGAGTCAAAGTAGTAAGACGTGGTATTTTAATGATCATTTGTAAAACCAGACAGCTGATATGTATTTCCTTCATGTGTGTCTGCACTTATTATATCAAGTATGAACTATATGTATAAGAAGCAAAATAAAAGTTTTAAAGTGAAATCAAAATACCATAAACAAGTTTACACTATGCAAAAATTGCTTCGTACTATACAGCATTAACTTGAGGAATAAATATTTTCACTAATGAATTAGCCAAGGGAAAGAGTATTCCAATTAAGAAATTTTACACTGAAATGCTTACAATGTACAAATATGTACCATTTCAATTATAAGCTATATATTAACACACAGCGCCATTACTGCTTTGAGAAACTGAACCCAGGATATACAAATCAAGTGTGTTTTAAATTCCATCATTTAAAAAAGGAACAATTCGGCTTCAATAATATTCAAATAAATATATGTTGCCCAACAAACACACCATCTATCTAAAGAAATGGAAGTTGTACCAATAGGCCAGTTCTGTGAAAAAAATTTAACTCATCAAAATTAGGTGAAAATTATACTCTCAACTGAATTTATTCTGTCATCCATCCACAGCTAGCGAGTAATTGCCCTCCTTTCATAAATCGGACATGAAATCACTTGATGCTGAATTCCTTACCGGTATTTTAGGCAACTGTATTCTTTAGGAAAAAGACAAACCAAAGACTCGATTCAATTTTCTTAGAAGAAAAAGGGAGATCACTTTTTTTTTTTTTTAGGAGGAAGTAGATGGCACAAATTTTAGCCAAAGCACTGTTACAAACGTGAAGCTAACTGTAAACCTGGATGGTACTTCGTTCATAAGCTGCTTTTACGTTTGGAAGAATTATCCCAAGACTTAATCCTATTGTACAGGCTTTTATTAAGTACCATTAATCAAGTCAGGAAAATTTTCTGACTTCTTTTCAGAAAAGATAAAAATTGAGGCTTTTGCCATTGACATAAAATTGCAAGCAGGTTTTATTAATAAAAGCAGTCTAAAAACAAGTAATTTAAAATATGAATCTTAAGGGTTTGATTGATTAAATATTTACAATTTACAAAAAAGACTTTCTCAGAACAATTCTTCAGATGTATTAAGGAAAACTGTTGTGATGCTAAATATAAAAACCAAAACAAAACCCGACAGAGACAGCTTCAAATCCGAGGGCTGAGAACATTCTTTTTAAGCTCGAATTTCAATTTTATTACGAATCTCCAAAATGCCCTATGTCCTATAAATCATTCTGATCTAATATATATTATATAATTTAATATGTGGATTTTTTGGACGCAAAATGTGGATTCTTTGAGGTGCTTCCTTCTTTCAATTCCCCCAAAACATGATTTCTAAATAATTTTCGTGTGGAGGAAATTTCAGAACTACCATCTAATTCACCCGGCAGGTTTGTTTGCTCTTTTTCTGGGCTTTTTTTTTTTTTTCCCTGGAGTGTGATCTGTGCTTGAGGGTAGTTTGGTTACCTGGATGCCTGCTTCTGAATAGCACGGAAAGAGTCCCGGTAATTTGATCACTTCCATGGGCTGCTTTGCTATATACAAGAAAGAGGTGTGAGCAGAATGCCAGTTTCACAGGGCTGCTTAAATCACCGTGAAGGAACGCTTCATCCTTAGCTGACTGCGTTTCAGAAACACACTCGTAGGCTGGTTTCGGAAAATGTATATGGTAAGAATGTAAACAAATGAAAAACCACTCAGTCTCACATCACTTATGCTCACGCACAGATGCGGGAATGTGCACACGCGCACACACTTCTCCCCTCCAGAAGCACGTAAGAAAAAGGAAAGGGAAAGAATATCTCGATTACTTTTCCAAAGGGACTCATTGAAGGAATTCAGAGAATACTGTTAACATTCATCTGCCTAATGTGTACTAGGCTTATTTGATGTTTTAAATGGAAAAGCTGGGAGAAAGTTGGAGATAGTTTGAGACCAACACCTGAAACACACATTTTACAGGAAAAATCGAGCGGCACTGAGGCAGGGCTGTGCCAGGGCGCAGGAGAGAGCAGAGGAGCAGCTTCTAAGGGCCCTGCTAGGTAAAGGCAGAGAGCTGATGTCATCCGCATTCTCTGATAGGAGTTTTCCTCAAACAGCATATGGACGTAGGACGGAAGGTAAAAATATTTCAACTCCGTAACAGAGAACTTGACCTTCCTTAATTTATCTACATTCTGAATGAGACTAACAGTTCTGCTTTTCTAAGAACTGAACATGATGAAAACACAGTGAGTTTTCCTCTGGTGTATTGATTTTTCTGCCCATCTATTCACGGAGTCTTTTAAAAACAGAGGCTATTCCTTCTTCCGCCCCCTTCCTCAGTTACCTCAAGGCAAGACCTTCTCTTGGATGTGAAAATATCTGCAGGACCGCAGGACAAAGAACTGAGACATTTTCATAGAGTCGATCAAGGGGGAAGAGGCAGATCTGCGAGATTCTGTTCAGAGTGAGGAGAGACTAAATGTCAACTTTAAATCTGCCACAATCATTTACTAATGTGCTGCTGTATCAAATAAGTCTAATTTTTTGACAGGACCAAATTAGATTTATTGCAGAAACTGCTGCATAAATAGCATATGGCTATGTTATACCACCTATTTCAAATCCTGGTAACGTTTCCCCCTCCCCCTCCAAAATGAATAAATTGAGCCAAGCTACAAAGCTTCTGCAAAAAGAGAGAGAGAGAGAGAGAGAGGGAAATATACTAGTTCAAAAACAGATGTAGGAGATCTGCATTTCTTTGTTAAAGTAATAGTTTTAACCTGAAGGTCCCAACTCTAGATTTTGAAAAGAAAGGATTCCTTAATAAGTTATTGAATTTAATAGATCGTTTTCACCTTCCTTTCTTTCAGAAAGACTTAATCTTACTTTTGTTTTAAGGATCGGGGCTCGGATTTATGCCCAACATCTTGACGTTCAACCCGCAGTTACAGGGGAAAGAAAAGAAAGGCGAGCTGCTCTGAATCAAGAACGGTATCAATCAGGTCATGAGAAATCACCAAGCACAAACGCACGCATCGTATGTTGGTTTGGGTTTTCATTTGTTAGAGACCTGGGTGGTAGAAATCATAGCAAAGAGTCTCCTCTGATTGTAAGTACAGCCTGGATCCCGGAAACTCTCTGATGCATAAAATACATAAAGTGATCATTCCACGTTGCCACCGCGGCCACATCAGGACGGCGGAAGGGCACAGACGGCGAAAACCAAGGTTGCGTGGAGGCCGGGACTGCAGCCCCCCACCGCAAATTTCGAGATGGCCCAGTCTTCCCTTCTCAGTCCCTACCCCGAGAACCCACCCCCGCCCCCAACTGTGCTACCGTTCCACTCCATTTTTCTTCTCGAACAAAAGTTCCTGCTCTTCCGTGGATGGGAAAGACATTGCAAGGTCTTATCTCAGACCAATGGGCACACCACTGCAGACATCATGGCACTCGGCTACCCCGCAGACTCCCTCTCTGTGGTCAGTCTTCCCAGCTGCCCTATCTGTTACTGTCTGATTAGTTCTGCTAAGGAGCCCCTCCCCTGCCAGCTTTCGGCGCCATCTGTTCGACACAAGATGGCTGTTGCCCAGGAACCTAACACTGCCCTCCTACCTGGCACCCGGCTACCGTCCTTACCCCAAAGTGCTAACACAGGTTCTCACTGCTGGCAGAGTCAGGCTTTCATTACTACTACTTTGACAAGTGCAGGGTTGTTTGTAATTTCTCTTTTATCCTGATTTTGATTGTACAACCACCTCCCACTGATTCAGTTTGCTTCAGTTTTGTTGCTCACAGATTTTACTCTCCACATTAATCTCCCTCTGGCATGTTACTGCATCTGTTCCCTTTTTTATTATTAATTTTCAAATTCCCACCATTTTTGACAAAAAGGAGGTAATCTACACTCTGTTTCTGCCCATTTCATTTTCTTTAATTTGGAAGATAAGTATGAGAGCGTGCCAAAGAAGTTAATTCTCCGTTAACAGTTTATTTTCTGGCATCCCTAAGCCTTTGTATATGAAAAACAGATAGGAATAAATGTTGACTGAATCACAACAACGTCGCAACCGTTCCCGAATTTAATGAAAAGCAAACATAGGAAACAGCATCTCAAAAGTTTATTAGTTACGTGAGTTGTCTCATGCTGTCATTCTTTCTTCCACTTTGAACAGATAACCCTTTGTGCAAATCAGTCTGAGCGCAAGATCTGAATTGGGGCTCCTCTACGGTTCCGAAATGGGCTCTGTTTCCACCGTGCATGAATTTTATCGTTCCTTAATATAATCATCATCTTTCCTCAGCCAAACACTGTGGACCTATTCAATAGCGACGGATCCTGAATCAATGCTTTATTTCAGAAACAGGTTCAGAATCCAGAACTGCCATCAGGGCAGTAAGGACAGAGCTTAAAGATATCCAACTTTGCAGGGGCCGCTTTCATTATTCCTCGTTTGACAAACAGTTACTGTCGGGAGTGGCAAGGTGGTTCTCCTCCAAAGACAAAGAGAGCCATTGAGGAGTGAGCACACGGGAAGCCGTATATTTAACAATACATTCTCTCGGTGTCCCTGACTTGTCACCACCACCGCCTGGCCATAAAAGGACTTGCCTAATCTGACCTTGCCTCAATGGCCCTGAAGTTTTCTAGACTGAGCAACGCGTTGTGCCTGCTAACGAATTTATTTTACACGAGTTCGCATCGGTGGCGTCATCCCTGAGCAGATGAGTGACGCCTCAAGATTTACAGAGCCCTGATTGCGTCTCAGTGATATTCATACTCACATTTATCCTCCTAAAATTACAGTTAAGATCTGTAGTAAATAAAGTACGGTGGGAGACTTCTTCCCAAGGGGACAGGAGATCCTCAGAAACAGAACCAGCGCTAGTGTGAAAGTCAAGCTCTGCCCAGGCTGGTGAACCACACTTCAGACTAGGTGCTGGGAAACCAACCTTGAACCTGCTAAAACCCACTCTTAATGCCTCATCTTGAACACCCCGCCCCCACCTCCACCCTTTGCATATATCCCAATAGTGACCTGTTAACTTTGTTTGATATCCTTCTTTTGTTGGTATAGTTATATTTAGAATAATTACACTCTTGACACAGGCTGGATTCTTTTGGCAAATCTGGCTGGAAATAGGCTTCTTGGCGGGGGGGGGGGGGGGGGGGGTAGATACAATACAGGTGTTGGAGGGATACGTGACCAGACACTGGTGCCCTCCCAAAGGAATCCCTTCATACTCTGCCTGGCTCTCTGCCCTCCCTCAGGTGACTGGGGCCCGCTGTGGAGAGGTCACCCAGAGCCAAGGTGGAACAGTGTTCCCCTCAGCTGGATACCAGCTTTACACACTGCTTCCAAATGCTTTCTGACCCATTTGGTGTCCGCTCTGAGTTCCTGAATTCAGGGAGCTACACTGTCTGCTAAGCCGATCTAACAGAGTAGTAGCTTAATAAAAATGTGTTTAACTTGCACTGGGCCCTGGTCCCCCGTGAGACATGGCCCCAGGTGGGCACTGAGTGAAACTGGATATTCCTCAGACCTCTTCCTTTCTCAGGATCCTAAAAATGAGCTTTGATTCCAACATTTCACATCAATGAATCACTATATAATCTACTCGTGGGTATCAGGAAAACATTAAATAACAAGTAAGTAATGCCTGGTAATTCGTCTAGGCAACACTTCCAATTAGGAAGAGGTGTTTAAGAAGAAATTAGACGTCAAGTTACATTGTTTTAATTTACCTTAAATGAATATTGGAGATCAGAGCTCTCTTTTAGAAAAATATTCCTATTTAGAGGTACTGAAACCACCGTATTTTGTTTTAGCCTGTTTCTCCCCCCACCCCTCCTATTTTCACTGAACTTGATGTTCATTGTTGTTGAGTCAGGCAAGTGCTGTGGGCAGTCCTTTCTCTGTTTCCTCTGGGCTTCTCCAGAAAATGAGTTGGCTGCCACCACCACCATGCTCCAGGCTGTGGGCCTGTGTGGCAGGGGAGAAGAAGAGACATCCCCAGCATCGAGTTTCATTGCACACACATTCGGGCTTCACGGAGCCGAGACGAGCGAGCCAGGGAAACTTAAGCAGAACCCGCAGACGCACGTTCTCTGGCAGCGTCTGACTCCAACCTCTCCCGCCCCGGGGCTGCCCCGAGACCCCGGTTCTTGGTCCATCAAACAGGTGGAGAGAGGGGGCTCAGGCAACATGGTGTCCACCAGGGCAAAATGAAACGCCTTTGCTTTCCTGGCTCTCTGACAGCCTGTTCTCTCGGGTACCAGGTGGGGGAAGGGAAAGAGGATGCAATTTAAAACAGTCCCAAGGCCATCTATTTCAAGACTTGAAGATGTTGGTTGCACATATATCCATTTAAAAGTATTTTTGACACGTTCTCTGCTTAATTTATTCATGAAAGGAGCACAAGAAAAAAAAAATAAGCTTAACTTTTAAATGGAAACTGGAGGCTAAAAATTCTTCAATAAAACTCAGGAGGGGAAAAAAAACCCAAAAAACTGAAGTTCACTGAGCAAGACGGCACGTCAATATTCTAGACTCTCCTTTGCAAATGAGGAGAGGTTGGGAGTTTGGTTTGTTGGCCTGAACCCGTCTGTCACCTGAAAATGAGAACAGTTCCTTCTTAATTTCCCCTAACAATAAAGAACAGAGGCAAAGTTATTCAACGTTTACGGACAATTTGCTCCCCTGAGCCAGAGGCCAAACATGGTTCATGAGACCCGCCTCCTGGCCTATGAACTAAGGTTCCGCAATCCAAAGGGCAGTTCTACTTAGCTTTGAAATACGTCTTTGCACTTATTTGTGAACAGGAGCCTCAGAGCACAGGCTCTGGAGTCTGACGGACCTGGTTCGAAGCCTGCCTCTTCCACTCAGGCCCCTTCCTTCCTACCCGGCTGCAGGATTTCATGCCTCAGCTTCCTCCGGCTTCCTCTAAGGTCTGAGAAGGCAGAGTGTTCAAGCTTCTTGTGTGAAAGCTTTTTGTTTTTTTAATTTTTGAAAATGTGTATTTATTTTTGGGAGAGAAGAGTGTGAGTAGGGAAGGGGTAGAGAGAGAGACACACACACACACAGAATCCAAAGCAGGCTCCAGGCTCTGAGCTGTCAGCACAGAGCCTGACACGGGGCTTGAACTCACAAATGTGAGATCATGACCTGAGTGGAAGTCAGATGCTTAACTGGCTGAGCCATCCAGGTGCCCTGAAAGGTGTTTTTTTGTTTTTTTTTTTTTTAATTTTTCTTTGCAAAGCACTGGTTTTATAAAATGGACTAAAAATGAATTACTGCAAAATTAAAAAAAAAATTTAAACATACAAAAAAATAAAGGTCACTGATCATGCACTTGGATAACTGGATAATGTGGCAATTTAAAGTAAAAGTTTGTGGGGTGAGTGGGTGGCCCGGTTGGTGAAGTGTCTGACTCTTGGTTTCAGTTCAGGTTGTGGTC